GACAACACCACGCACTGTGATGCCCACATTAGCACACACACAAACACCACACACACCGTTACACCGACCATTCACTATCACACCATAAAGTACACACACACAATATACCACTCGATAGAACACGACAGTCGCATCGCACACACAATCACACCCCGTAGCACTCACAGTACCAACACACACAGCAATTACCCCCACAACGTAACACACAAACACATCACACGCTACAGCAGTAGGACACACAGGGCAACATCACCACGTAGTCCACAAGATAACACAACACACCACCTGTGGTACTAACATCACACCCTACCATACACACTGGTGTAACTCACACACACTGGTGTAACTCACACACACGCACTGGTGTAACTCACACACACACTGGTGTAACTCTCTCACACACACACTGGTGTAACTCTCTCACACACACACTGGTGTAACTCACACCACACACACACTGGTGTAACTCACACCACACACACACTGGTGTAACTCACACCACACACACACTGGTGTAACTCACACCACACACACACTGGTGTAACTCACACACACACACACTGGTGTAACTCACACACACACACTGGTGTAACTCACACCACACACACACACTGGTGTAACTCACACACACACACACTGGTGTAACTCACACACACACACACACACTGGTGTAACTCACACACACACACTGGTGTAACTCACACCACACACACACTGGTGTAACTCACACACCCACACACTGGTGTAACTCACACACCCACACACTGGTGTAACTCACACCACACACTGGTGTAACTAACACACACACAATGGTGTAACTCACACACACACACTGGTGTAACACACACACTGGTGTAACTCACACACACACACGGGTGTAACTCACACACACACACACGGGTGTAACTCACACAGACACTGGTGTAACTCTCACACACACTGGTGTAACTCACACACACAAACTGGTGTAACTCACACACACACTGGTGTAACTCTCTCACACACACACTGGTGTAACTCACACCACACACACACTGGTGTAACTCACACCACACACACACTGGTGTAACTCACACCACACACACACTGGTGTAACTCACACACACACACACTGGTGTAACTCACACACACACACTGGTGTAATTCACACCACACACACACACTGGTGTAACTCACACACACACACACTGGTGTAACTCACACACACACACACTGGTGTAACTCACACACACACACTGGTGTAACTCACACCACACACACACTGGTGTAACTCACACACCCACACACTGGTGTAACTCACACACCCACACACTGGTGTAACTCACACACCCACACACTGGTGTAACTCACACCACACACTGGTGTAACTAACACACACACAATGGTGTAACTCACACACACACACTGGTGTAACACACACACTGGTGTAACTCACACACACACACGGGTGTAACTCACACACACACACACGGGTGTAACTCACACAGACACTGGTGTAACTCTCACACACACTGGTGTAACTCACACACACAAACTGGTGTAACTCACACACACACTGGTGTAACTCACACGCATACACTGGTGTAACTCACACACACACTGGTGTAACTCACACCACACACACACTGGTGTAACACACACCACACACACACTGGTGTAACACACACACCACACACACACTGGTGTAACACACACACTGACACTGGTGTAACTCACACACACACACTGGTGTAACTCTCACACACACACACTGGTGTATAACTCGCACCACACACTGGTGTAACTCACACACACACACGCTGGTGTAACTCAGACCACACACTGGTGTAACTCACACACACTCACACTGGTGTAACTCACACACACACTGGTGTAACTCACACCACACACTGGTGTATAACTCACACACACGCTAGTGTAACTCACACCACACACACACTGGTGTAACTCACACCACACACTGGTGTAACTCACACACACACACACTGGTGTAACTCACACACACACACACTGTTGTAACTCACACCACACACTGGTGTAACTCACACACACTGGTGTAACACACACACACTGGTGTAACTCACACCACACACACACTGGTGTAACACATACACACACTAGTGTAACACACACACACACTGGTGTAACACACACACACTGGTGTAACACACACACTGGTGTAACTCTCTCACACACACACTGGTGTAACTCTCTCACACACACACACACACTGGTGTAACACATACACACACTAGTGTAACACACACACACACACCGGTGTAACACACACACACCGGTGTAACACACACACCGGTGTAACACACACACACACCGGTGTAACACACACACCGGTGTAACACACACACACACTGGTGTAACACACACACACTGGTGTAACACACACACACTGGTGTAACACACACTGGTCTAACTCACACACACACTGGTATAACACACACACACTGGTGTAACTCTCTCACACACACACACACACTGGTGTAACTCACACACACACACTGGTGTAACTCTCACACACACACACACTGGTGTAACTCTCTCACACACACTGGTGTAACACACACACACTGGTGTAACTCACACCACACACACACTGGTGTAACACACACACACTGGTGTAACTCACACCACACACACACTGGTGTAACTCTCACACACACTGACACTGGTGTAACTCACACCACACACACACACTGGTGTAACTCACACACACACACTGATGTAACTCTCACACACACACACTGGTGTAAGTCTCTCACACACACTGGTGTAACACACACACACTGGTGTAACACACACACACTGGTGTAACACACACACACTGGTGTAACTCACACCACACACACACTGGTGTAACACATACACACACTAGTGTAACACACACACACTGGTGTAACACACACACACTGGTGTAACACACACTGGTGTAACACACACACTGGTGTAACACACACTGGTGTAACACACACACAGGTGTAACTCTCTCACACACACACACACTGGTGTAACTCTCTCACACACACACACCGGTGTAACTCTCTCACACACACACACCGGTGTAACTCTCTCACACACACTGGTGTAACTCTCACACACACACTGGTGTAACACACACACACACTGGTGTAACTCACACACACAGTGGTGTAACTCACACACACAGTGATGTAACACACACACACACTGGTGTAATACACACACAGTGGTGTAACACACACACACACTGGTGTAACACACACACACACTGGTGTAACACACACACACTGGTGTAACGCACACACAGTGGTGTAACACACACACAGTGGTGTAACACACACACAGTGGTGTAACACACACACAGTGGTGTAACACACACACACTGGTGTAACACACACACTGGTGTAACACACACACACTGGTGTAACACACACACACTGGTGTAACACACACACACTGGTGTAACACACACACCGGTGTAACACACACACACTGGTGTAACACACACACACTGGTGTAACACACACACTGGTGTAACACACATACAGTGGTGTAACACACACACAGTGGTGTAACACACACACACAGTGGTGTAACACACACACACAGTGGTGTAACACACACACACAGTGGTGTAACACACACACACACACTGGTGTAACACACACACAGTGGTGTAACACACATACACAGTGGTGTAACACACACACACAGTGGTGTAACACACACACACAGTGGTGTAACACACACACACAGTGGTGTAACACACACACACTGGTGTAACACACACACACTGGTGTAACACACACTGGTGTAACACACACTGGTGTAACACACACCGTGGTGTAACACACACACACACCGTGGTGTAACACACACACACACTGGTGTAACACACACACACACCGGTGTAACACACACACCGGTGTAACACACACACTGGTGTAACACACACACACTGGTGTAACACACACACAGTGGTGTAACACACACACAGTGGTGTAACACACACACAGTGGTGTAACACACACACAGTGGTGTAACACACACACAGTGGTGTAACACACACACAGTGGTGTAACACACACACAGTGGTGTAACACACACACACAGTGGTGTAACACACACACACACAGTGGTGTAACACACACACACAGTGGTGTAACACACACACACACAGTGGTGTAACACACACACAGTGGTGTAACACACACACAGTGGTGTAACACACACACACAGTGGTGTAACACACACACACACTGGTGTAACACACACACACACTGGTGTAACACACACACACACTGGTGTAACACACACACACACCCTGGTGTAACACACACACAGTAGTGTAACACACACACAGTGGTGTAACACACACACACACTGGTGTAACACACACACACACACTGGTGTAACACACAGTGGTGTAACACACACAGTGGTGTAACACACACAGTGGTGTAACACACACAGTGGTGTAACACACACAGTGGTGTAACACACACAGTGTGTAACACACACAGTGTGTAACACACACAGTGGTGTAACACACACACAGTGGTGTAACACACACACAGTGGTGTAACACACACACAGTGGTGTAACACACACACAGTGGTGTAACACACACACAGTGGTGTAACACACACACAGTGGTGTAACACACACACAGTGGTGTAACACACACACAGTGGTGTAACACACACACAGTGGTGTAACACACACACAGTGGTGTAACACACACACAGTGGTGTAACACACACACAGTGGTGTAACACACACACAGTGGTGTAACACACACACAGTGGTGTAACACACACACAGTGGTGTAACACACACACAGTGGTGTAACACACACACAGTGGTGTAACACACACACAGTGGTGTAACACACACACAGTGGTGTAACACACACACAGTGGTGTAACACACACACAGAGGGGCTACTCGAGTGACGCTCGGGCCCTTCGCGGCCGAGCCCTGCAGCAGCGCCTCCTCCTCCTCACCTCGGCACGCCGGGCCGCATCGCTCGCCCCTCTCCAGTCTCGCTCGCTCCGCACTCCCTCCTCCTCCTCGTCGTCGTCTCCTTCTTACTCTCTCCTCGGTTTGCCTCCTCCTCCTCGTCGTCGGCTGTCGCCCAGCCAGGCGTCTCTCTCTCGTCGTCACCCTTTTACTTCCCTCCACATGTCGTGGTGGTGGTTGTTGTCTCTCTCTCTCTCCACATGTCGTGGTTGTTGTTGTTGTCTCTCTCTCTCCACATGTCGTGGTTGTTGTCTCTCTCACCACATGCGGTGGTTGTTGTTGTTGTCTCTCACCACGTGTCGTGGTTGTTGTTGTTGTCTCTCACCACATGTCGTGGTTGTTGTTGTTGTTGTCTCTCTCTCACCACGTGTCGTGGTGGTTGTTGTTGTTGTTGTCTCTCACCATGTCGTGGTTGTTGTTGTTGTCTCTCACCACATGTCGTGGTGGTTGTTGTCTCTCTCACCACACGTCGTGGTGGTTGTAAACGGGTGATGATGTTGTCTCTCTCTCACCACGTGTCGTGGTTGTTGTTGTTGTCTCTCACCACATGTCGTGGTGGTTGTTGTCTCTCTCACCACACGTCGTGGTGGTTGTAAACGGGTGATGATGTTGTCTCTCTCACCACACGTCGTGGTGGTTGTTGTCTCTCACCACACGTCGTGGTGGTTGTAAACGGGTGATGATGTTGTCTCTCTCACCACACGTCGTGGTGGTTGTTGTCTCTCACCACACGTCGTGGTGGTTGTAAACGGGTGATGATGTTGTCTCTCTCCTCGCCTCTCGTCGCAAATTAGCAGATCGCGGACGTGTGCAGAGCGGCGTTTCACTACCTCCACGCACGCCTCCAAGCCCTCCTCTTCCCCACCACGCCTAATAAAAATGTAACTTTGCGAATTGAAGCAAAGGCGATAACGTTAAGAGATATGTTAGTTACAAATAGAATAAAAACGAGTGAATCGGTGAGCAATTTCGCAGAGCGAGCGCCGCTGAGCTCCCTCCGCTCTCTTCTGGCGCCGCCACCGCCTCGACAAGCTGGGGGCGGGGGCAGCCGGGGGAGGGGTGGGGCAGCGAGGGGGGAGGCGGGGTGGAGAGGGGGCGGGGTCGCAGTGGAGTGCGATCCGATTGGATAGGAAGGACACGGGGGGCGGGGGCACGACGCTGACGAGTTTCCCCCTCCCTCCCTCCGCGCTAGCACCTCCCACTCCCCCGCCCGACCCGACCCCCCCGCCCCTCGCGGGCTCGCGCGGCGGCCGTTGGCGGCGCGCGGCGCGGTGACAAACATCAAAGGGCGCAGCCGCGCCGTGCCAGACCACTCTCACCACTACTCACCACTCACTACTACTCACTCACTCCTCACCACTCCTCACCACCACTCACTACTCACTCATTCACTACTACTCACCACTCACTCATTCACCACTCACTACTCCTCACCACTCCTCACCACTCACTCACCACTCCTCACCACCTCTCACTACTCACTCACCACTCCTCACCACCACTCATCACCACTCACTCACCACTCCTCACCACCACTCACTCACCACTCCTCACCACCACTCACTAATACTCACTCCTCACCACCACTCACTACTACTCACTCCTCACCACCACTCACCACCACTCACCACTCACCACTCCTCACCACCATTCACCACTCACTACTACTCACCACTCCTCACCACCACTCACCACTCCTCACCACTCACTACTACTCACTACTCACCACTCACTCACCATTCACCACTCCTCACCACTCCTCACCACCACTCACTACTACTCACCACTCACTCACCACTCACCACTCCTCACCACCACTAACTACTACTCACCACTCACTCACTACTACTCACCACTCACTCATTCACCACTCACTCACTACTACTCACCACTCACTCATTCACCACTCACTCACTACTACTCACCACTCACTCATTCACCACTCACTCACCACTCCTCACCACCACTCACTCACCACTCACTCATTCACCACTCCTCACCACCACTCACTCACCACTCCTCACCACTCACTCACCACTCCTCACCACTCACTCACTACTACTCACCACTCACTCACTACTACTCACCACCATTCACCACTCACCACTCACTCACCACTCACTCATTCACCACTCACTACTACTCACCACTCCTCACCACTCACTCACCACTCCTCACCACCATTCACTACTACTCACCACTTACTCACTACTCCTCACCACCATTCACCACTCCTCACCACTCACTCACCACTACTCACCACTCACTCATTCACCACTCATTACTACTCACCACTCCTCACCACTCACTCACTCACTTCTCACCACTCACTCACTACTACTCACTCACCACTCCTCACCACTCACTCACTACTCACCACTCACTCATTCACCACTCACTCACTTCTCACCACTCACTCACTACTACTCACTCACTACTACTCACTACTACTCACCACTCCACACCACTCACTCACTACTTACTCACCACTCACTACTACTCACTCACCACTCACTACTACGCACCACTCATCACTACTACTCACTCACACTCACTACTGCTCACTCACCACTACCTACTCACCACTACACTCGCTATTCACAATGCGAAGCTTTAACCTGGTTTCTTTTGCTAATGCTGGACATAACTACTGGGTTATTTCACTTTTTTCCCCAAGTTATGTGTGCTCATGCACTACTCTATTATTATGGATACGTAATAATGTGTAATGCTGTACGGTTTTAGGTTTTTTTTTAAATTACATTTCATAGTCTCGGGACTGTTAGCTTCTGGGCTGAAAATATCCGAACACACACACAACATTAAACCACCACGAATTAACCCAACCGATCATCAGAAATCATCATCGGATCACCAAACAATTCAATACAATTGAAGACATGTTTACAAACGTTAACATTACATATTTTAAAAAATGTCCACAAACTACGACACTGTTGTGACTGTTGTGTCAAAGTTGCTCGATAAGCGACAGTAGCACGCGGACTCCCGCGTCGGTGGCAAATAAATAATTAAGTCGCATTGCCGGTGACGCGGAGCCGCCGCCTCCTCTCTGATGTCCTGAGCCAATCGACGCGCAGCTTCATTTCCCACAACTAAAGGTGTTGACCAATCGGGTGTCGCGATGCTGGATGTTGGGGGGGTTCATGGTAATCGGTCCCCCATCCCCCCGCCCCTCGGCTCACCCCAGAGCCCCACCCCTCGGCTCATCGACCCCCGCCGACCCCGCCCCTCAGACACCAACAAGCCCCTCCCACTTCTACAACCCACGTGCTTGGGACCTTTTAAGTGTTAAGTCCTGTGTTGTATATTTTCACTATTTTATTTTAAAAAATGTTATTATTTAATTTGTATCGTCAGGTAAAACGCACTGAGCTACGTAGCTCGTTTTCTCGAAGCGACCTGGCCATCGCATATGATTGCTCAGCGAAGTGGCTAAACATCGTGTAGAAATGTATAGCAGCAGCAAAACCGAATACTCTAAACGCGTGATGCTGAGTCTAAAATAGTGTCGAGAGAAAAACGGGAGGACCCGGAGAATCGACATGCAAACTTCAAATATACAGCAGCCATCGCGTCAGGGTTGGTGGCATCTAACCCACAACCTCCCTAATGCCATCATCATCATCATCAAAAGCCATGGCCAAATCCACTGCTGGATGAAGGCCAACCTCCCCAAGAAGCCGCTGCTATCTTCAATGATCTTTGCAATATTAAACTATGCGCTTGGACTGGAATGTGTATTTTTGTATTCCGTACACGATCGTTACAACATCAAACAAAGCTTAATAGCAACACTGTACAGTTACAGCCATGACCTGGGATTCATTCTACCAAGGCATTATTACATCATACACAGCCTCGCTTGTACCGATATTTACAGAATGCCACAGCGGTGCTCAATGCGGTGCTGCAGCGACACAAGAGGCGTATTACCCCCCATGGTATTTTAAGAGGTGTTAGGCATTCACACAATCACAGCCTAACTTTGCAGTGTAAAAAAACACAGCTATCACAATAACTAAGCAATTAACACGGTTGTATCCAGCGTAATTCACCGTTCCATATATGTGCTTAGAATGTAGAGCCTCAACTACCGTAGTCTGCTCTTAAGATTAATTACTCCGAAACTTTCACATTCTAAATATTTACGTGAAGGTAAAAGTCAAACCCCGCAATGACTTGCGCACATCTAGAGCCAGTCCAAGAGTGCCCCTATGAATGGGTACACAGTACCCACACTTTGCCCCACCACACGGGACCACAAACCTTGGCGTTCCGTACCCATTTCTGCCGCTGTCCAAATATCAGCGTCCCCATGTTGACGAGCGAAACAGAGAACACGCGCATTCGACAACTCTCCGTGCGTGCAGAGCGATGGATGTTAAATGTGTTTTTTTTTCTGTGACCGCGTGTTTACAAAAATAATCCCCTTCGGACGAGCCCATCTAGCTCACTATCCAGATACACGCAAACGAGTTAGACTTATTGCGTTACGCTGGCATTCATCACGCATGCATCCGTGCTCAATCCACTGCTGGGTGGAGCGCCCTGCGATTTATGATATCACATTAACATTTGTCTCCGTTTAATGCCATAAAAAATGATCAAACGATTTTTGTTGTTGTTGGGTAATGCGTTCACATATTGTCTTTGATATGTGGTACACTTATTCCGATCAGAGACGGGAGGCGGGTTTCGCTTCAATTGGCCATTCATTTTGACGTTCTTACACAGGGGCGAGAGGTTCGTCAGGACAATGCTGCTCCTATCTGAATACGCCTCGGAGCAGCTGTCCAAATGACAGCGTTTGTAAATTGTTCTTCGGGCCCAGGATCTGCCTCCTTGGTGCTTAAAAAAGGGTCGGGAGCGGGGGGAGGAGGTGGTGTGTGTGTGGGGGGGGGGGGAATTGACACGAAGCGGCGAGAGAGGTGGAGCGGTGGCCGTGGTGGCGCAGCGGTGGAACTGTCGAGGATGTGGACAAAAAAAAGCAAAAGGCGCGGGTGGGAGATTCACCCCCAGGTGAAACTCGAGGCCCAAAAACGCAGAGGCGCTGATCAGCAAACAAGGGGAGGGAGGGGGGGTGTCTCAATGGGGCCCTACTTGTTATTATGTAAATAGCTTCCATTGAGTGACGGACGCCTTTCATCTCCCCGGCTCGAGAGATAACAAATGAAAGGAAAGGTGCAGCCAAGCAGCAGCCGCCGCTTGTGAAGTTTTACTGAAGTCCATCGCTTTGTCCTTTAGGGGGGGGGGGTGGTGGGGGAGAGAAAAAAATCAAAGGCGAGGGGGTTTAATCTGGCGGCGTTGCTACTTCTTCAACCGTAAACTCGTGTTTACTCCGCACGACGGCTCGATACCCCCCCCGACATCAGGAGCCCGGGTGTTTGATTCCGGCGAGCGATCCTCCAGAGAGGGAGGCCGTGAAAACAACAACAACAAAAGACGCGAAGCTCTCTGCTGCTGCTTTCGAGATGGATTTTTTTACGGTGTGCGTGGAGCTTTGACGTTTTATCTCGCCCCACCCCCCACCTTCCCGTCACCTGCATTGTTATGTTGGTGACTCTGTAGCCGAGAACGCGTCTCCCCCCGCTGTAACTTTCCTATTTGACAGCACCGCCTGCAACTCAGCAGTCCCTCTGCAGCGTGTATGTATGTGTGTATGTGTGTTCTTTAGCACCGTACGTAGCCAACCGTGCTAAGCGGAGGTGCGTGGGAAGGACAACAAACGTTGTAGAAACGAGCAACCGAAATGGATGGTCAACGCCGCTGCGTTATGAACCCAGCCTACCCGAGTTCAATTCCCGGATAAGGCGAACACCATTGGTGAGTAATGTATCTGAACCGGGCCAGCACCCCGAACCACCGGGAATATATTTTTTTGTGAATTCTATTTTGGAAAGGATGCATTGCAGTTGAACTCTTGACTCGCCACCGAAGAAGTTACATCCATCAACGTGATGCAGAGCAAGGAGTAATCCGATGAGCTACAAAGCTTTTTTCACAGATGTCCAGCAGGGGCGGGTAAGAACGTTACAACGACAAACAATACAGAAACATTATATGAGTGCAAGGTATAAAAAATGTAAACAAATCACGTTTTAAAAAAATACTAAAAAACTAAACTACTTTTTTTATCTTACCCCACTGAGCTATTAACTTATTATTCAGAAGCGGTCTGGCCACAAATGATAGCTCAATAAAGTGGCTTATCATTTCAAAATGTATAGCAGCTAAATAATCTAAATATATTTTATGAGCGTACAGTAGTTACCACCGTTTCCCTATGAACCCAGGCCACCTCAATTTGAATCTTTGTCCCACGGCTTACGTTCGTGGTGAGTGATCATTGAACCGGTTCAGCCCTCCCCACACCACCTTCACCTCCCCCACACGTCACTAACCCGCACGGACCAGCGTGGTGAAGTATGGTAACCACTTATTTATTTCTGACCAAATCACCCGGAACACGCCCGATCTAATCAGATCTCAGAGGCTAATCAGGGCTCAGCTTGCACAGTGCTTGGAGGGGTGATCACCACGTACAAAAGCAGGTGCTATAGGCTGCTGCTGATGCTGCAGCGGTCTGAGCAAAAGAGGGCGGTACAGCAAGATTTAATTGTTATACTGCACATCTATGCTCCCCGTTTGCGCCAGCTCTTATCGACCAACGTGGTGCAAGGAATGTTCAGATAACCACCACGACCTGCACGGTGTGTGGAGGCAGAGCTGTACATGTGCATTGTTATTGTTGTTATTCTTATTCATAGTGATCATGCAATTATGCGTAAGAAAACAGGTGATATTTCTTTTACACATTTGTACAGTATAATGTGCACACAGCAGCGTCAGCCATGGTCAATCCACTGCTGGATGAAGACCTCTACAATCCGCCGCTATCTCTCAGGGTCATGCAACGTGATGATGCACGCAACACGTCGTCTCATCGTTCCATGCCCTCAATGAACTCATTCAGTCGCGTTTTGGTTGTCCTCCGTCATTGTTGCTTCCGTTCGCAACGCTGAAACCCTCCGGGAAAAGTCGTGCGAATCGGGGGAAAACAGTCGCCCCATCCAAATTCACCAGGACCTCGATAACGTCCCTCGGCATCGCTTGAAGTCACGCAATCCCTTTTGGACCTCATGCGCTTAACCTTCAACCATGCGAGTTCAACCCCCGATGAAGCTTGGAAGATCTGAACGGAGTTCAAAAGAAGCCACGAACAATCACTGCTGGTGAAAGACCGAGCGCAGGGTATCCCTGGGTTTGATCTTCCCCTAAGCTCGTGGTCAACCCCTAAACCGCATCCACCGTACAAACCGTGGCAGTAGATGCGGGTTACCTGATGGTGCACAAATGGAAAATTAAAAACCCTCCAGCAGTAGCGTGCGACCGCGGTCATCCAGAACAGAGACCGTGCAACGTGTAACGACGCAACGCCCGAATCCGCAAATCCGAAGGAGACATCACAGCGATGATTCACGCCTCCGCTACTGCTCCTGACGCGGCTGTGTGGGCTTCACCACCTGCACGTGACATTGTAGCCGTCGCTCAGCAGCAGCCGTACGAAAGAAGAATACGTCCTCCTTGTACGTGTGTACGTTGAACTCCTTTCGGCACCGTCCGTAGGCAACCGTACATTTATCGGGCGCGTCCTCCCCAATTACACTTAACGACAAACTTGAACGATGTAATCGGCCAGCGTATGGTTCCCTAGTCCACGTGTTCCCGGAGCGTTAACTTTCGCCCGCCACGTGTTGTGCTGAAGGACATTTCACTTGAAATGCCTCCTCGCGTTTGCTAGAGACCCGGCGCACAGACTCACCTGCAGCATACCTGGCAAGAAAACTCTAAAACCGGTTTAAGAGGACAATGGACACCTTAGGGTTCTGCACGTACCCAGAGGCGCAAACTCCTGGACTAAAATCAACCAGTGGTGGTAGTTTAACGCATGTCACACTGCACGATTAAATGCATGTATCATCATTACATTGCTGGTTGGTGCGTATTGCAAGATTCAGTCCCTATGAGGCAATGAATTACTTGTCCGCAGCACTACTGGTGGAAAGTTCCATTGCCAAAGGGAATTCATGGGATGCCCCTATCGCTCATGGGCATTGATCATGGTTGGCTACGTACGGTGTGAAATAAGTTCAACATACAGACATATATTTTACCCTACGCTTTCACGCCAGCCAGATGTCTCGGAGATGGGTGGGGATACCCACAGTTCACCCCACCACAAGTTGGTAAAGGCGCAGCCCTGCAATTGCTTGTCCACAGCACTACCGGCGTTCTTCGCCACTTTTCAGAGGAGGGGGCAACTCTCGCCAATAAAACGTCATAAAAGTATGAAAAAACAAGAGTAAGTTTTACCCTTTCTGGAAATACAACAGGTGTTAAGATGTTCAAACACCAAATATAAACCTTTTGCAGGGAATCAAGTTACTTTAACACGTAGGCTTTCGCGACCAACATCATCCATAATAGAGGTTTTGTGTGTTTTAACAACATTTATATATTTACGCGATCTGACCCAAAAAAACTCTATTATGGAATAAAGTTAGTGCATTAACCACAGCTACTTGTGGTGAAGATACAAACACACATGCTCTAATATATGCACCGTCCTTCAAACTGATTGACCTACACCAGAGACAGCCTTCTTTATGGCCTAGTCTCACCAGTGTCAGACCAGAGAACGCCAAAAGTCATCGTCAGTGTGAGGGCCGCCACGCATTTGAAACCATTGGGGGTTTGACAGCAGCGCGATGATGATGGGGGGGAGGGGGGGGTATCACTCTTTGTGTATTGTTGGAGGCCGTACGTTAGAGGCCACGCTAAAGGCCACCAGGGTCCCCCAATGGCAATGAAGAACACTGGTTCAGAGGGAGCTCTTTAAAACGTCTCCAGAGGGGAAATCCGCCTACTTCTCCACTCTGGCGCGAGACGTGCTGTTGGAAGTTGTTGTGGGAGTACCCACACTTTACCCAGCCACACCGAGTTTCTACTTTGGTTTTCGCGTAACCGCGGGGAGCCTCCGACGGCACTCAGGCGTAGCTGCCCGGACCGCAGCGCATTTCCCAAGAACAATCGGCGTCTTTTTACTCATCGAAAGTTTAACTTTAACTTTTTTTATTTTACCAGATAAGGCCCCACTGAGCTATGGTAGCACTTTTTTCAGAAGCGACCTGGCTATAATAAAAAAAATGTCAACGAAGTGGCTCATCACCATCACGTGTAGACATTTATAGCGGTAGCCAAATATTCAAAACGCGTGATGTCGATTCTAAATACGGAGGGGGGAAAAAAACTCGGAGGACCCGGAGAAAATCCACGCGACCGCAGGGAAAGAGAGAGAACGCGCAAACTCCAAATATACAGCAGGCATCGTCAGGCTCGGGATGGAACCCATGACCTCCTGAATACCAGGCGAGGTAGTTAACATCTCGCCATCGGGGCGCCCAAAAGCAGAGGGGTTCCCCATCGGTCTCCGGAGGTCTCGGTCTCGGGACCCGAGACCTGGTCCGGATCTCCCCGCCCGCCCCTCCTTAATCAGCGAGTGGCGCCCGGCGGGCGGCTGCCGCTCGGATGCGCGCCGCGCCGCACAAAGGGCGCGGCGCGTAGCTGGCGGCTGCCAGCCGGGCCGGCGCTCATCAAATATCAAAGAGGAACCACCACCACCCGCCCACCCAGCCACCCACACCCACCCACCCACCCCCACTCATCCACCCACCCCCATCCAACCACCCACACCCACCCACCCCCACTCACCCACCCCCACTCACCCACCCACCCCCACTCATCCACCCATCCACACCCACCCACTCACCCACACCCACTCACCCTCCCCCACTCACTCACCCACTCCCATCCAACCACCCACACCCACCCACCCCCACTCACCCACCCCCACTCACCCACCCCCACTCACCCACCCACCCCCACTCATCCACCCATCCACACCCACCCACACCCACTCACCCACCCCCACTCATCCACCCACACCCACCCACCCACCCACACCCACCCACCCACGCCCACCCACTCACCCACCCCCACTCACCTACCCACCCACACCCATCCAACCACCCACCCCCACTCACCCACCCACACCCACCCACCCCCACTCACCCACCCACACCCACCCACCACTACAAAAAACGCACGGTGAGATATGTGAGATAGGCTGGGCGTGTGTGTGTGTGCGTGTGTGTGCGTGCGTGTGTGTGTGGTTGTTAATGGGCGACGCGACTTCGATTCTCACTCACGGCCACCGCCAACGCCAGTGACGATTATCTGAACCGCGGTACTGGGCCTCCCCCTGGGTCGACTCAGCCTCAAACGAGTACGGTGCGGTGTGTAAAGATCGCCACGAGGGAGAGAAAGGCGGCCGGGCGTGGTGCTGGCCAGCCACCCCTTCCTGTAGCGTGGCGGCCTTCACAGGTGCTACTCGCTAACAGCACTTGCTCCACCAGTCTGTTCAGACCACACGGGGGATCTTTGTGGGTTTGTGTTGCTTGACGATGTTGATGTGTGTGCATGGGCGGTGTGGAGCGGTCAGCTCGCTGCGCTACCAAATCAGCCACCACGGTTCGATTCCCGCTCACGGCCACCACCAAAAACAGTGACAGCGTCCATATGTGAACCGTGGTCATGGGCCTCGTCCGAGGTGACATCAGCCTCAATGTAGTACCTGGCGCGGCGTGTAAACATCACCACCGGGGAGACAAAGGCGGTCCGGGAGTGGTTTTCCGGGCACCCCAACACCTCACCCTCGTGTGCCATTGGCGGCCTTCACGCGTGCTTGCTACTCGCTAACAGCACTTTCCCCGACAGTCTGTGAAGGCTATAACGAGAGTGGGGTGTGCGGGAATCTTCGTCTTGGGTGGGGTGGAGCCCCCCCCCCACCACCACCCCACCAGAACGCGAGCTGAGCGCGATCTGGCTGACCCCCCACCACCCTCTTGTTGTTTATAGATGCGGAGACGCATT